CCCAGGGTCTTTGCAGGGAGCCGGGCCCTGCAGCACCTGGATTTTGGATTTCTGGCATCTAGAACCGTGAGAGAAGCAATAGCTGTTGTTTTAAGTCCCCCAGTTTGTAGTAGTTCATTACAGCAGCCGCAGGAGACCGGCACACCCGATGTCTCACCCACAGCAGGATCTCCCTAAAATACCTGGGGTCCCAGGTGTCTCTGCCCTTGCAGGGGGACGCCTGCACAGGAAGGTTCAAAAGGGCTCTCCCCGACCCCGGGCCGCCTGCTCCCCCCCCCGCACCAGCTCCCACCTCCCTCCATAGCCGTGGACGGGGCTGGGATGCTCTCAGGGCAGGTGAGCCAAAACAGCACTTTCTCTTTCTCTTTATTGTGAGGCAGGGTCTCATTGCCACCTGGGCTGGAGTGCAGTGGTGGGCTCAGAGCTCCCACTCCTGGGCTCAAGCGATCCTATTGCCTCAGCCTCCCGAGTATCTGCGACTACAGGCATGCACCACCACACCCGGCTAATTTTTTGTTACGTTTTGTAGAGACGGGGTCTGACTGTGTTGCCCAGGCTGGCCCTGAACTCCTGGCCTCAAGTGATCCTCCCAGACTGCTGGCATTGCAGGCGTGAGCCACCGCACCCAGCCAAAAAACTAGTTTCAAATAGGAATATCCTCTTCCTTTTGCCTTGGCTAGAAAGTAGCTTTCCCCTTTGTGTGCCTTCTGGGGAGGAAGTTGATGGAGAATTCGATGTCTCCAGGGAGGAGGGGGCCACAGAGGGGGCTGGATAATGGGCAGGCACCAGGCACTTGTGGTTATTTAAATTATGTAGGAAAAATGAAAACCTCGTGCCTTGGTAGCGCTGCCACATTGCAGGCGCTCAGCACCACACGTGGCTACCATGCTGAGCACGGCAGCTACAGGACGTTAACGTCACTGCCTAAAGTTCGACGGGGCGGCGCCGGGTTGGATGGTCCTCACCCTGGATCTTCGCACGCATTGCTCATCCAGAGATCAGCCGTCGGGCACCTACTGAGCAGGCAGAACCCGGGTCTCCAGGGAAAGTCACTGACTCGTGGAGTTTTACGTCTGCTGGGGAGAAGCTTAAACTCCAGGGCCCTCTGCCAAGGACCCCCTGCCAAGGACCCCGGCCCCTGCACCCCCAGGCCCCCCTTGTCCCGCACAGGCGGCTGGGGGTCCCCTGCACAGGGAGCGCCAGCGCGGGCTCCGGGACGGATGGCTGAGCGCGAGGGCCATCAGCGGTGGAGGAATTTGGCCCGTCTGGGCTGCTGCTCCCGTTGTCTTGGTTCCCTTCCACGCTGACCTGGAAGGACTCCCAGAGCAACAGGCCGACCTGCCATCTGCACCGGCAAACCCTGCAGCGGCCCCAAGGGCCGAGAGTAGCTGGGTTGTGTTTGTTTAGGAACAGCCGAAGCTCGGGGCACAATAAAAAGTGGAGAGAAGATTCCGGAGAGGCATGCTGGCTGGGGCTGGCCTGGAGGGTCTTGGCCGGCTCTGCTGGCAGGTACGGCGGCCTGGCTGGGGGTGGAGCTCCGTCGTTTTTCCTTCAGGGAAGCAAAGTTCGGTGGTTGGGTCGGGATGAGCAGGAAGCCGGCAGAGCCGTCATTTCTGAAGTGAGAGGTCGCGGTGTCTCTCGCTGGCTTGGTGGTCATCGAGGAGGATTCACCTGCGCTATGGGAGGGGGCGGGGCCAGAAAGTCCGAGCCCAGAGCGTCAGGAAGTGTCCAGAGAGTCCCTCTCCCCACCTCTGCACAGACAGTCAAGGCGGTGCCACCCAGGAAGCCTCTTTTCCGGAGGGCCCTGCAGCCTGCAGGACGGGCTCCCTCTCCTGGACGGTTGGGACAGCCCCAGGGCCCCCTGGGCCGGTGGAGGGAGCTCAGGCCATGCTGGGGGACGCCTGGCACTTGTCCCCTCCCAGCCGGGCGTGGGGGGATGAAGATGTGCTTCATGGAAGGGGGCGGGGCACCAGCTCTCAGCGTGGTATGCCTGGGGGGGTGAAGGGGACACGGCCCCCACTGGGCCTTGGTCACCGAGGCCAGAGAGGTGGGCGGGGAAGGAGGAGCCACCCGTACCTTTCACTTTTGTTTCCTGTGGGAGCAGGGCCTTAGTCCACAGATGCTGCCAGTTTGGAGGACGAATTTCCACGGAGGAGGAAAGTGTACACCCAGAGGCTCCCATGTCAGGGCTGTCCATGAAGGTGGGGCCGCGTTGAGGAGCAGGGTGGGAGGGGAGGGGCACCCAGGAAGGCTGCCTGACAGAGGAGGCATTTGACTGAGCCTCGAAAAATAAACAGTTCCCAGGCCACGCTGGGGAGACAGGAACAGTTGTCTCGCTTCTGTCGGAGAGATGCCCCCTCTTCCCCCTCCCCTGCCCGGGCCCTGGGCCTGCAGAGCCCCAGTCTGCAATCCGGAGGAGCTTTGGACTGGCAACGATGGTGACGTCCCAAAGAAAGTGGCCCTAGGTCTGTTGGGGGTGAGGATGCCCTCCTGGGAACTGTCTGGAAGGGGCTGTGGGGTAACAGTGCCCGCCCGGGGACGTGGGCAGACTGGGGCGGCCAGGAGCTGGGGCCCCTGGGTTGGCAGAGCCAGAAGGTCCCAAAGCCGGGGCCCTGAGGGTCCTGCCTCCCGGGGACAGCAAGCCCGGGTCCAGTTTGAGAGAAGCTGGTTAAACCACGCCAGGCTGGGCACCGCCGGACCCTCGCTGCGCTTAGTGCGCTAGCGTGCTTCAGATCCAAGACAGGGATAGAGTTTGACACGGCCACGGAAACCTCCCCAGTGTTCCCCGGAGCGGGGAGCTGCAGGGGGAAGCTGCTTTGGGACTCAGTGTGGCCTGGCCTGGTCAGTCCCCCCCCCCGAATGCCTGCACTGCAGCTGGCACTCAGCAAGTGCTGGGGAGTTGGCGTCCCCCCGCCTCGGCCCCCTACCCGGCCTGGCCCTACCCCACCTCTGCGCCACCTCTGAGCCAGCTCCTGACTGGCATGTGCCCCGGAGGAGCCAGTCGGTGCTGCCGGGTTTGCAGTTTCAAATTCCCCTGCTTGGGCCGGTGCGCTTGCAGGTCTAGGCCTGGCAGGGAAGTGGCCCTTGCGCCAAACCGGGGGTCAGGGCGGCGCCCGGCAGCCGCACCAGCTGCAGCAGTGATGCCCACGGCACGTGCACAGCGCACAGTAGGCGACCCTGCCCCCCGCCCGGCCCACTCCCGCTTCCACTCCCCTAAGCCCGGCCCGGGTCAGCAGCCTCTCAGCCCCCGAGGACTTGCCCGTCTGGTTTGCAGGGTGTCACGTAGGATTCGATGGGTTTCTTCTCCATGTTTTGTCTGTAGTTTCTAAATTTAACACAGCGAACAGATACGACATTTATAATCAGAAAGACCCATCAGGAATATTATTTCACAACCGGGAAAGAGATGAAATAGACAGACCAGGAGACCTCTGTGATTCCCACTGTTCTGAGTCAACGGTTGTTAGTGGCTGGTTTAACACAATGTTTTAGAAAGAAAGAAAATAACGGAAGACAGGCCAGGGCGCACTGGGGGTTTGGTCCATGGTGCCCAGCCCGGCTTCCTCCGCGGCTGCGACAAGTGACCAGGACCCGGGGAGGTCACACAACACAAGCTCGTTCTCTCACGGTTCTGGAGGCCGCATGTCTGAGTCGGGGTGTTGGCGGGACCCATCCCCTGGGAGGCTGCAGGGGCTCAGCCGTCCCTGCCTCTTCCTGCTTCCGGGGCAGCCGTTGCCCTTGGCTCGTCGCCGCGTCACCCCTGCCTTCAAGGCAGCACCTTCACACCCCTGGGCTCCGTCTCCGCCTTCTCCCCTGTCAGTCTCTCTCTGCACCCCCTCAGACCCGCCATGGCCTTCAGGGCCCACCCAGAAAATCCAGGGAGACCTCCCCACCCAAGATCCTTCTGGTGCTCTCATTTGCGAAGACTGTTTTCCCAAAGACGGTCACGTTGACAGGTTCTAGAGATTAGGCTGTGATACTTTGGGGGCCATCACTGGGCCCACTGCAGTGCCTGAGAGCCCCTGGGTCCCCCACCCTGGCTGAGACACCATCCCCCTTCCCTCCCCACGCAGGCCGCCTTTGCTGTTGGGGTTCTCTAGGAGGAGGGGTCCTTTGGGGGAGGCCGGCTGCTGGTTGGGTCTCCCAGAAGGCTGGACACTGTCTCCCCGCTCCCCAAGAAGATGCCCTTTCTGCCTAGGAGACCACTTTTGGGGTCCTGTCCCCGGCAGGGAGGGCATGGGGATTGCAGCCCGAAATGGCCTTCCAGGGCCTTTGGCTCTGTCATCTAGCTGAGAGCTGTGCATGGGCCTCACCTGGTCACAGGTAACTCACCTGGCCCCGTGGGGCAGGGGTTATAAACTCAGAGGCCTCCGGGGGGCTGGGCCAATAGTGAAAACTCGTAGAGGGACCTTGGGACCAGAACAAACTAGGAACTGCGTGTTTCCTCGGAAGGTCACCGCAGTCTCTGAGCCACCCCTGTGTGGCCAGGCGGGACGGCCTCTCTGATGTGGCCACACACCCTCCCTCTTTCAGGGGAAGCTGCAAATCTGCAGTTCTCGGGGAAAGCGCCTGAGTCCTACCCGTTGGCACGCATACACGCCTTCTTTGAACAGGCTTGGACAGACAGAACCTGTGTCTGTGTCTCAGGTTCGAATGGGTCCTTGAGGTGCAGGGAGCAGAGGGGTGGCCCCCGCCCCCCACCCTGGCGACACACACTGCAGCCCACGGGCCCCACCCAGGCTCTGACCACCAGGTGCTGGTTGGGGGGGAGGTTTGCCAGGTAGGCAGCCCCAGGGGACCCCAGGAAACAGCACTGACACCCCCAGCCGGGCCCCGAGTTCCCAGAGAGGCACGGCATCTGGGGAGGTCGGTGTGAGGAGACTTGCTCCCTCCCTGGGGACGGCTGGGAGCTACTGACTCATGAGTGTGTGGTCGGAATCTTCCAGGAAGTCCCTGTCCTGCTCTCCCTCCCGGCTTGGGCGGGGACTGCAGCTGCCTGTGTCTAACGGGACGGGAGGCCTTCTCAGGGTTCCTCCCGGGCAGGTGCTCTGGAACCTTCTCTCTGCCTGCCTGCCTGCCCGGGACACGGCCACCCCTCCCGCCCAGCCGGGGTGCGGAGTGCAGGGTGCAGGAAGGGCTGGGCCGGCCGGCCGGGGGCGGAGGCAGGCGAGGCAGGCACGCGGGAACTGGGCTTTTTAAAACACTTAAACCCGAGGAAACCGTAGCATCGCGGGACGGGGAAAATGAAAGACTTTGGAAGTCGCCAGGAATCCGACTCTGTGAGTTGGTTTCCAAGAGGCTAAGTTAAGCATCTCCAAGTGGATATTAAAAAGGAGCAGCGAGACTCCGGCAGCGGCGGGAGCCGGGAGCGGAGGGAGGAGGCCGCCGGAAGCCGCTGGACCTCCGTGGCCTCCGCTCAGGAGGGACGAGCCTCAGCCAGCACAGCTCCCCGGGCCACCCTGGCCCTTTCCCCGGCCGCCGCTTTTTGAATTTCTCTCCTTTGCTCCCTTTCTCCTCCGGTTTCGAAGAGACAATGCTACTTCAGTTTGGAGCGCAAACATATGATCAGCACATGGAAATGTGGTAATTTGGATGCATTCGTGATTGCAACAGATTGAAGAAATTAGACCAGACAAAGAGTGTTTTTGGAGGAGGAGGAGGAGGCAGAAAGGGGGGGCGACGGGGGTGAGAAAGGGGACGCCAGGACGCCCGCCGCCTGCTGCTAAATATATCCGTAGGAATGGAGAGGGACCGGATCTCAGGTAGGCGCACGCCCCCCACCCACCCACCCACCCCTGGCCGCGGCCCGCCGGCCCCCAGGCTCGGGGCTCTGTCTCTGCTCAGGGGACACAGCACCCAAGGGTCGCTTTTGCTCGTTTTCGTGGAAACATTTCTTTTCCCTTTGACTGTTCTGAGTTGGGACAGAATGTTGTTCTAAAAGCTGAGCTCCGCTAAGTCTGGCTTTTATTTAAACTCTGCTCTCCTCCCCCCTGGCCATGTCTCCTTCCTTTCTCATGTGCCACCCCTGCGTCTCACGGCCACCGTGGGTGCCGAGACCCCGGGGCCCTGGGGAAGGTGGGGGGGACCTGCCCCTGGCGCTCAGGTCCAGGGCGGCGCTCGGGACGCCCAGGCGCTGGCCGGTGGTTGGTTTGTCCGCCGGGCAGCTTGTTGCTTTGCGGCCAGCCAAGGTCTGTCTTCAAGGCCGCCCGGACTCCTCCCTGAAGTGGCGTTGCGGTGCCTCCCCGGCGGCTGATTACAGAGGTGGAAGCTCCCGGTGCTCAGAGGAGCCGGCGTTTCTGGGAGTGTGCGCACGTGTGTGCGCGTGTGTGCACATGTGTGCACGTGTGGCCGTTCACGTCGGCACCCTGGGGGGCACAGACCCGAGGGTCCGGGGTGTGAGTTGAAAAATGAAGAGAAAGGAGGCTTCCCCTCCCCTGGTCACCCCGGCTGGGAAACTGCCCTCTCCGGGCCAGACCTCCTCATTCCTTCGCTCGGCGCCGCGGCTGCCACCTCCCCCGGCTGGCATCGGCGCCAGTAATGACCATGAGTCAGTGCCCGCCGGCCCGGCACGCCCTCCGAGCTGGGTGCTGGGGACGTGGTGAGCTGAGCCACACTCCAGGCTTCAGGTGTTCTGGGGCGACCGGTGGGTCACAGCAAGGCTGAGAATGTCACCCAAGTGCGGTCGGCCCTGGGCTGCGGGTTGCCACGGCGTGTGTGTCGGGGGGTCCCCGAGAGGCCAGAGGGAAGGAGCCCCATCTCAGCGGCCTCTCACTCCTGCTCCCAGGGCCACATCCTGATGCGAAGCCAGCACGGGCAGGGCGGCCGCTGAGAGGGGAGCTGCTCGGGGACCCGCCGACGGGGCGTGCGTGCATCTGTGCCCCTGCAGGTGGACCAGGCAGCGGGGACAGCCACAGGGATGGGCAGAAGGCGCGGCCGGTGGCAGAACTGCATCTTGTCTGTCTGAGCGCAGGGATGTGGGCCCGCTGGGGTGCAAGGGGCTGGGCGGATGGAGTGGTCCTCAGAGTGGCACCTCCAACAGGGAGCCAGAGCCTGGGCAGACCAGAGCCGGGCCTGCTGCCGCCTCGGCCACCAGCCCCAGGAGGACGTCACTGCACCGGCCTGGCTGGCAGGGGCCTTGGGGAGCCTCGGGTGCAGCCTTCATCTCCTAGGCGAGCAAGCCAGGCCCAGGTGAGTGACGACCAGGTGTGAGGGCCAGCACAAAGGCGAGGGCCGGGAGGGGCTCCCCGGAGATTGGGAAGTGGTGGCAACGTCGGGAGCCTCCCGGCTAACCGAACGCGGGCTTCTCACGGGCTGAACACGCAGCCTTTGGAAGTGGCCAGGTGTACGCCTGGGGACGGCTCCCACGCCACTGCCCTCGGCCGGGCCGCTCCGCAGGGGGAGTGGAGTCCTTCACTCAGGATATGATGGGAGACTGGTACCCTCTACGACATCCCCCTTTGGATACGTTTTCATGAAAGGAATTTATTATTTTACCCCCCAAACTCTGTTGCAAACTGGCTACAACAGAATGAAAATGAAAATCCCTGAACTATTTCCTTAACCTGTTTCTCATCCTGGTCAGACCCTAACTGTGGTCTTTCATTGTAACCGAACTCTTAACCAGCCAGCCCCTGGGAAGCCAGTTCCTGTCCAGTCCCTTCTGGGTGACCGTGAGCAAGTCACCATTTGGCTCTGAGCCTCAGTTTCTTAATCTGCGAAGTGGGGGAGTGTGACCAGCACGGCCCCCAGGCAGCGTCCTTTCCCTTCTTCTGAGCGTGTCCTGAGTTTCCGGGGCTTGCTGAGCTGAGCGCCTTCCTTCCCTCTGGGCACGTGGCCCCGGTGGTGGCTGCTTCAGTCCCCACGTGTGGACAGGGTTCTGCCTGGCAGAGGCTGCCCCGCTGATCTACAGACGTGGCTGTGGATGCTGCTTGTGCCCTGCTGGGCTGGCATTTGGGGCGTGTCCACCCAGGCTGCCAGGAAGGGGTGGCGGTAGGAGAGGGTGTGGTCCCACCCTGGTGAGTCCGTGGTGGGCCACCAGCCTCAGGGGAGGGGCTTCGGCAGGCCCTGGCAGCCTCAGGAGCCCTTGGACCTGCCCCCCTCGTCCCTCCCTTGGCAGCCCCAGGCTCCCGCCCGGTTTGTGCGCCAGGGGCTGGGGGCCCGCCCGGCCCTCTCTGGGGCCGTGGTCTTCCCCTGGGAAGAAGCTGGAGGCTGGTCAGCAGGGCTGGCGTGAGTCACAGAGCAGTGACTGGCCTCTGAGGCATGGAAGGCCGCTCCTTCCAGCCAAGGGTTGGGGCTTTTCTTTGGTTCTGGCCTGGCTTTGTGGCTTTTACAAATTAAGCAGTTTTATCTCGTTCCAAGAGCTCGTGTTTCAGCAGGGAGAGACTCTCCAAGAAGGGAACTTTCCACTGGGGAGCCGTCACCCGGCTCAGCTGGGCCCGGGTGGCTGGGAGCTGCAGGCAGGGGACGTGGCCAGCTCTGCACAGTCACGGTTGCGGGTGCAGGTCCCCGGAGGGGCCTGGCCGTGCTGTCACCGACTTCTGCCCCTGCTGAGCGTCCGCCTGACGCAGTGGGGCACAGAGCGGGGCTCAGCTCCTCCAAGGGCGGGCCCTGTGTCACAGGTGGCCGGGCAGCAGGAGGCCCCATGGGAGCCCCTCAGTCCTCACGTGTCCCTTCTGTCCCAGACGGTCTCTGAATCCCCTGGGGGACTCTTACCCTGGCCCGGATGGGTCGTGAGCTTGCCGGCCGCCTCTGCCTCTTTGGCTCTGCTTTGATGACATCTCCACGACAACGACGAGAGGCTTGGCCTGAAGCCCTCTGCACCCGCTCCCTGCTCTGCCCAGTGGGACTCTGGTCCCTGCAGTGGTTTCCTGGGGCTGCCGTAGCCCCGTACCACAGACTACAGAGGTTTCTTCCTTCACGGTGCTGGAGGCCGGAGGTCCGAGATCAAGGTGTTGGCCGGGCTGGCTCCTTCTGGAGGGAGAATCTGTTCCCGGCCTCTTTGCAGCCCCTGGGGGCTCCTGCAGTCCTTGACGTCCTTGGCTTGTAGCCGCAGCCCTCTGGTCTCTGCCCCGGTCTCTCCTGTGTCCCCCATCTCGTCACTGGATTTAGGGCCCACTGGGCAATCCAGAGTGATCACATCTCAAGATCCTTAGCTTAATGACATCTGCAAAGACTCGGTCTCCAAATAGGCCACGTTCACAGGCTCCAGGTGGACACGAGGTTTGGGGGCCACTCACCCCGCTGCAGTCCCATGTGTCCCAATGCACAACGGGGTTCCATGTCCCAGACCCTCCGCCGGCCCACTCTGACCTGTGGCGTGGCTGCCAGCTCTGGCCACGTGTCTTCCTGCTGCCCGCACGAGGTGGCCAACATTCGAGAATGTTGCTGACATGGAGCGCCCTGTCCTGTGTTTACTGCCCTTTCATAAATCCTTCTGGAGACATGTCTATGCAGGCCCTTTACTGATTTTTGATTTGGATTATTTGGCTTTTTCGCTGTTGCATTTTGGGGGATCTCTGTAGACTCTGGATGGTGATGCTGTTTGTGGCCCACGATGGCTTCAGCCCCTGCGTTGCCTTTGCACCCAGGTGTTGGTACCCTTGCATGAGCAAGCGTTTTTAATTCTGCTGAAGTCCCTCTTACCTCTCTGTTCTTTTGTTGCCTGTGCTTTTGGTGCCAGGTCCAAGAAATCACTGCCGAAGCCAACATCGTGCAGCGTTTCCCTGTGTTTTCTTCTAGGAGTTTTGTAGTTTCAGCTCTTGATTTTGGGTCTTTAATCCAGTGTGGGTTAATTTTTGTACGTGGTGTAAGGACGGGTCCAACTTTGTGTTCCGGGCTCTTGTTCTGCTTCTTTTCTTCTCTCACACCCAGGCTGGCTCCACTAGCAATGGGGACAGCGGGGAAGTCCCGGGGAAGTCCCCCTGGACCTGGCCAGGACCACCAGCTGGGAGCCTCATGGCTGGACATGCTGCCGGGGAAGCCCGGCCGGGCGGGCAGAGCGGCCCTGAGGCCCCCTGTGCAGATGCCCCCTTGTCCTCATGGCGTGGAGTGAGACCGGCCGTGTGTGTCGGGGCCCGGGGGCTTAGCGTCCGAGGCTGGCGCCTTGCTCAGCCCTCGGGAAGCCTCTCCGTCCATTCTCCCGCTCAGCTTCTGCCGTCCGCCCCTCTGTCCGCTTCCTGCTCACAGGTGCTCATGCCCGGTGCCCCCTCCTGGTCTGACACAAGCTTTGTCCCGAAGCCACCTCCCAAACCTGTGCCCCAAGGCCCTCCCACCCACACGGACTCCACTGCGACTGACTCCTGATCAAACTCCCCGCGGCTCTCTCCCAGGAATGGTAGCTGGGTCCTGAGTGTCCCGGCAGGGGTGTGGGGAGCCCCCATGTGACGCACCTAAGGCCTCTCGTCCCCCTGCTGCCCCTGCAGTAACCCTCGTGCCTGGGGACTGCCACCCCGTCCCACCTGCCTCCCTGTTTCTCCCGGCTTTGGGCCCCTGACTCTGGGGCAGGCGTGGAAATCCGGAGTGTCCGCCACTGGCTCTCGGCGCTGGGGTGTCAGAACCTCCCTCCCGTGATCAGAGCCCCAGCTGAGGCTGAGGGTCTGGCCCATCCCTCGTAGAGGTGAGCAGGGAGCAGGGTCTTCAGACTTGGGGTGACCACAGGGGCTCCCCTTGCAACTGGCAGGCCTGGGCTGCTACCCGTCCCTCCCACCCCAGCTCCAGGCGCCTCCTTTCCCGTCCCTGGTCCCCATGGACTCCTCTCTCTTCC